ACTTCATGCCATTTGGGGGCAGATCAAAGCCCTGAGAGCTACAAGCCATCTAGCAATCAAATCTAGCAGTTTGGGTAGCAATATTGTTGAGCAACAGGGAGGCCAAATGGCAGCTACAATCTTAGAGCCAATTTTAACCAGGAGGTTTCATATCTGATTATCTGCAGAGCAGAACATCTGAAAGCCATTAAGTTTTTTTTTTTAAGCTGCAAATACAGTATTTCAGTTTTTGCCAGTCAAGACCTGGGCTAGACTTTATTTTCAAGACTGTTGAGTTTTACAGGCAGGATCAAATTATCACAAGCATTGATAATATTGATTTAATGATTAAAAGCAACTCTAGAATATGTGATTATCCATCTTTAAATATCTAAAACTGTTTTATAGCTTCAGGCTGCCAGGTGTGCCCAAAAGGTTGGCTGTTGAACAGAGAAAAATGCTACTATTTCAAGATGGGGAGCGACGCCTGGTCTCAAGCCGAGAAGAGATGCGAGAATGATGGAAGCAAACTGGTTATCATTGAGGATTACGTTGAACAGGTAATAAGCTAATCCTGTTTAATAATCAAACATTTCCCACTTCTCAAACTTCAACCACACACATTAACTCGAGGAGCACATCTGTGGGAAGGAAACTTCAGCTCTCGAGAATCGAACAGTGGTGCCATGTTGGCTCTGATTATGAAGCTCTTACTTAGAAGGAGAAGGGAAAAACTTGCAGGGACGCCCTGCTTCAGTAGAGAAAGAGGGTCAGAAGTCTTCATAATTGAAAAGATGGTGGAAAGGGATATGCAGTTCGGGAACAGCTCCATGTCTATATGCTACATTTGACCTGTTGTTGAAGGGAGCTAGTTGTAGTCAACCATGAGAGAGGCTGTTGGGTTCAGGGTACTGACCCTTTGCTTGGCTGTGAACAAACATCCTGAACTGTTTCTCTGGGCAAGGTACAACATGGTCTCTTCTGATCTCTGCTCTTAGTTAATATTAATATTCTGGTGATGAAGGTGAATGATATGCATCCTGATTTACAAGATACATTTTTGCAGTTCCATGGAAAGGGGATAACCTTATTCACAAATTCATCTGCATTTCCTGCATCGGATGAGGAGAGCACATCTTTCTCCATCTGTCCTGGCCACTTTTTACAGAGGCACAATTGAGAGTATACTAACAAACTGCATCACTGTTTAGTTTGGTTAGGGTTAGAGTTAGGCTTCTGAAGTTGAGAGAAAACTAGACAAATAACATATTTATTGTTGCCATTATTACTATCTTGTTTCTTTGTCCTGTGTTTAGACTTGCTGTCAAAGGCAATCCTTGACTTACAACCATAACTGGGCCCAATATTTATATTGCTAGGCAAGATGGTGTTAAGCAAGTTTTGCTCCGCTTTACAACCTCCCTTGCCACAGTTGTTAATTGAATTACTCAATTGTTAAGTTAGTAACATGGTTGTTAATTGAATCTGGCTTCCCCCATTTGACTTTGCTTGTCAGAATGTCACAATAGGTGATCACATAATCCCAGGCACTGCAACCTTCATAAATATAGCATCTGAATTTCAATCACATGATCATGGGGATTCTGCAGCAGTTGTAAGTGTGAAAAAGGGTCATATGTTTTTTTTTAATGCGGTTGTAATGGCAAATGTTCATGAAACAAATTGTTGTAAGTCGAGGACTACCCTATGTATATCCTGATTTCAGGTATACAGGGTATATTAAGCACAACTATTGGTTAACTTCTCCAGCTTCTCTGCTTCTTCTTGTTTCTTGATGTCACCAAATGACAGGAAACACTGTTGTGATTGGTACATGTGTTTTAGAGAACACTAAATCCATTCTTTCAAAACACACTC